TAGCAAACGCGCTAACATCTAGAAATGAACAGGATGGACGAAAGTTTCGCCATTACAAACGAGCTCGCCCCGTTCGTTGACCTGTGTGGGCTTCAATCGCCATTGGCTTTGTGACGAGGAACCGGGTCATCTGAAGCCATCCACCATTTTTCAGTCTTGCGGTGGTCTCAACAAATCCTACCGTATGCTTCGAGGTAAGCATTTGTACTTCTCTGACGCAGTAGTCTACTTGGAGCTGTTCTTGAGCTTGAAACAACTCAGGAGGACTTATATTCTAGTTTCCAGGCCCTGACGAATGTGATTAACACAAATACGAGTTAAATAAAATCGTTATCTTCCCGTGGTCGCATTAGGGCAGGACAACAACTCATGCCAAGGCGTACGGACAGCCGAGCATAGAGGTTGGTTTCCACTTTTTTCGTAGCGACTCCTAGTACCGAAACACTCATATGTGGAAAGGATTTTCCCTTGCAAAATGTGCCTTCATGCCGGCCTGGGGATGCTCTTACCGTGCAAAACCTGTAGGATGTCTCCCGAAAGTTTGACGTCAAGGATAAAAATGAACTGTTTATTATCACTGCATCAGGCAGCTTAGATGACGTGAATATTATTATTATATTATTGTTTCTATGAGTCAATAATGACTTTCTGCTCGAAAATCAACTGATGAGGCATTGCTGGTCCGTCGACAAACATTGGGAACGAGTTGTCGGCGATACAAGTATAAACACCGCTCATTGTCGCCTCGGCTTGTGGGAGGATCAAGTTGTTCCCATCGTATTCTATCGATGACGACGACTCTGAAATAGAAGAAGATTGCATTGCGAAAACTATGTATGTAGGTCCGTATGTGAGGGAGGTGTAGTGAAAAATAACACGCTCACCACGCGCACGGGCCAGGAATGACATCCCGGGTCGACTCCCGCTCAGGCCAGCCAAGCCTTCTACCCTCGGAGACGGTAAATTGGCACCAGGTTCGTCTTGAACATTGCCTTGTGCATCGGCTGGCCGCGCAAGTCATTTCATGCTTACAGCACATTCAGTAAGCCACTACGATTCTGAATGGAAATGGAATGCGTGCCGCAATTCAAAAACCCACTCATTTACGGCGGAAGTTTGTCCTTCCCACCATTCCAAAAGACGTATGATGTCGACTGCCGAGAGATGGAGTGTTGAGGGTCGTAGTAGGCGGGCACCACTGCTAGAGGTGGGGTTGGAGGTTGTGCTGAGGAGGATTTTCCCATTGCAGAGATGTGCCTAGGTAGACCATCGACACCATAGGGAGACCTTGAATAGTGGGTAGGCCTACACTATCAGACCATGTCCAGGATCCATGGTAGGTTTAGCTATGCCGGGGCGACTGGCGTGGAGCGTTGTATCAAGAGTATCATTTTTTTGTTGAAACCCTCACATTTTCCGGGTAAAAAAATCGCAAATTGATGTAGGCTCCGGCACACGATTTTCCTGGATTGGATGTAAGTGAATCACATGCAATGCTCTACTTAGAAATAGTACTCTATTCTATTATATTTAGTGAGGGCTTAGTGAGAGAAAGGGGGAAGAGCATAAATTACGGCTGGTTAGCTCTCATCATCATCAATCAGAGGATCCCTCTGAGATCCATGGAAGAACCATTGCTGATACTTATCAATATCCAGCTACTACCTTACTTGATGGACGCCAGTGCGCATCAGAGTTCTGTGGGAGAATAGAGGCAATTCTTGGAGGGTGCTAGCTGATGCAACTTGTTCGCTGCAGAAGCGGGATGTGCCGGAAGGGCTAGGTTTGGCGCGGTGCCAGCGCGCCAAACCACCAAATTTCACCCAATTCTTATTGCTTGCTCTCTTCAGCAAATGGTGAAACGGGAGGGCACGGTTCCAAACTGCCCCCCCCCACGCTCCAACGCCCAAAGCGAACAAGACTGTAGCCAAGTCGGTGGCAACGGCGCTCTGCCATCGTAAGGGGCTCTTCTGGAACACTTTTTTGGAGGAAATAGGAAGCGGAGATATCATTAGATAACAGAGTTGCTAAGCTGACTTCCTCAACCAGGAATAGAAAGGGGAAATAGAATATAAGCCACGAACCTATGGCTCTTCCATCCTTTTCCCAACGGGCGAAAGGTTCAGGATAACCGAACACTGGACAAAGTAGTTCAACACGATCGCCTGCCATTGCCTTCTTTACAGCTCCAATCACTTTCGGTGGTCTTGCATTGGGTACTTCGTGGAAAATGGAACCAGTTGGTAGCCGAAGAACAGGTGGACCTTAACGAAACAGGCCATGTTCATGGTACGAGGTGAGATTTGTGCAACTGTAGTAAACTGCTGCGTCTTTCCTCGCTGGCGTGCTCCTCATTCTAACGGGAGGCAGAAAAGACGCTCCAGCTAGGAAGGCACAATGAAGGCTTAACTCCGCCCATACGAATAGCTTAGAACGTTGCAGTCCTCCTTCAGTTGAAACTCTTGGATTCTAAGTTTCAAGGGAAGGAAAAACTACCAGCTGAACAGGCTCAGGCTTAGGAGTGACTTGACCTGGAAGTCACTAATTACAGTGAAAACGTACAGTATATTGACAGATATCCTTTTAGCAGAGGCCCTTCCTCAGTCCGCACCTCACACATGTACTTTCCAGCCGCTGTTGCTGGCACTTTGCCAACATGCAATTTTGCCTTATTGTCCTTGATTTTTGCCTCGAATACCTGAAAACTCATTTTTTGCTGACGGTGAGAGTGAAGGGGCTAGTAATCAAGAAATGACCTTTCTTTTACAAAATTGAGTCCTGAAGTAATACTGATTGGTTCACTTGTAGTCGTCATTGAGTTACTGCTTCTAGCGTCAGAATGGGACTTTTTCAGTTTTTTTAGCGGGCGCTATCACAAGTCACGCCCTGTCTCCCTCCCCACTCCCCAGGATCGTAATTGGGATCGCATCCCTTTCTGGTTTTGCCTTCCACCCGCTTTCCAGCAAGCTATCC